ACACTCCTCGATTCAGAGCATGTTACCATAGTCTCTTGAGACTGAAGGATGCCTATGTGGCAGTTACAGCTTCCTAGCTCATTTTTTTCTGGGAAAGGCTCAATACTTATCAGCATCCCTTCGTACAACCTTGCACATATTAACACGATTATAGGAATGAAACTACCCCTTTCCTGTGCACCAGTGTGACAAACACATTAACAACACTGGCATGGGCTTAGAGTGCTTCTCTGTATATACTGAAGTTAAAAGATGCGAGAGTAACATCTGAAATTTGTTACAAACGTCTTCCCATTTTCCGAATCAGAGCCATTAGTTAATAATCCTCCTTCAAATCATGTTTTCTTTTTTATTCTTATTTTTTAAAAGCAGAGAACATGAAACTACTTCTCTGTATGCAGTCCGTAGGCTCACACAGATATTTTTTTTGACACAGATTGCTATGAATATGTTGCAGTGAGTACTCTCCCTAGATATAAAATGGGCAGTTTAGAAATATCCCAACTGAAGTATGTTCTGAGCTCCTCATACGGTTTGTAAATGGGATCATTTCCCCAGGCAACTAAAACAAATAAACTAATATATAACTTCATTTACTTTTCAGATAACATTTAGGCTGACAACATCAGCAAAACAATGTGTGACCTATCTATTTATCTTGCACAGAATTATTAGATTCACCAACAAGCAAGTTAGCAATCAGTTTAAAAAAGCATAACCAAACCAGATTCTTACTGGAAGTCATTTGTACAGGAGAGGTTTAAATAGGTTCATAGTTAAATTGCTGTTTATAGGAATGCAAAGCCTACACCGCATGGATCTCACTTTCATGTTAACAGAACAGTTCCTCATGAAACAATTATCTTGAAAGATGTAGAGCAAACTCTGAAAATTGCATATAAAATGTCAGCTGATTTATGCTTGCATAAGTGAAATCACATAAGCCTTGACAACCAATTGCTGGTCATTAATAAGCTGCTAGTTTTATTCCTGGAATTCATGATTGTGGCCATGTCCAGAAACCATGACTGCATAATTGTGGCCACATGCCCAGAAAGGCCAAAAAGTGTGAATCACCGATAGGATTCAAGACCACCTAGAGGAGAGCATATTAAAGAAGTCTGTACATTTATTATTCTTTATTATTCTTTTCAGACCAATCACATTATGAAATGGTTAGGAAATAATATTTGCTTTTAGATTGTAAGCCTAAGGACAGGGGTAGGGTTATGATTATTTTTATTGTTCTCATGTACACAAACCTGGGACCCTATTCAGTTGAAAAAACAGGTGAAAATTAAGAAGATAATGATGGTGGTGATGGTAGTGTTAAATTATCAGACCTCATCAATAGCCATACTTTCTTATGTAGATGAGTCTGTAACCACTATATCTATTCTCTGTATTTTTATAGTATATATGACTGAATTAGGGCAAGTATAAATCTAACATAAAGTGTAATTTTAAAACCACTGAGAATAAATACTGTTAATATATAACTTGGAAGGTCTTGTGAAATGCCTGTACAATGTCGGCCCCAAGTCAAAATTTGACAGCAATATGCAACTTCACCCTCTTTCAAGGCTTGATAAATGTTTCTTACATGATTCCTGTATCAGGCAGGCCAGAAGATATTACTGAGGTGTATTTGGTTTGGTGACTTGGCATTTGGGTAACTCCAACAACTACTGTACCATCCCTGCCACAGACCGAACACAGGTCACCCACACACCTGGTATTTCTTCTTCTTCTTCTTCTTCCCATCCCTGCCACAGACCTAACACAGGTCACCCACACACCTGGAATTTCTTCTTCTTCTCCTCCTCCTCCTCCTCCTCCTCCTTTTTTAAAAAATATTTTTTATTTTCCTTATAAAGGTAGGGTAGGGTAAGAGGCAGCTGCAATAAGGGTACCTTTGGAGGGGGTGGATTTGAACAAATACATTAAAAATCAATATTTTTCATAGTAATTCTATACATTATCTTCTCTTTTTATTTCTTATTTCCCAAGGGATATGTTTCAATGTCTTCAGATTCCTTCCTTCTCTTATATATGGTTTATCTTGCTTGCTTTCAGAATTTTGTCTCTATATGTGGTTTTAATGAATCTAATTTGTACCTCTCTTGGGAGATGATTTTTAAAAATGAATACTGAGGGAGTTCTTTTGGTCACATCTATATTTCACTTAATTTCATCCTTCTCACAGTTCGCCCAGTCTGAGAGTAAATCAGTTGTAACTTCTAAGAGGTCTTCATTTTGCATTTCTGGTACATTCTGTATTCTCAGAATATGTGATGCCTTCTCCATCTGGATTTGAGTCACTGATGTTTCATGTTGGTTTCGTCTGGTTTCAACTTTTCCTAAGTCATTCTGAAGTTCTATTACTTTCTTCTCCATTTTCTTTGCTAAGCTCGCTGTCTTCTGTATTTCTTGATTTTGCTGTGTCATATCCTCTCTCATTTGCCCCAATTGTAAACTCTTGTCCTCCTGTTGTTTGGAAAATTGTAAACTCTTGTCCTCCTGTTGTTTCGAGAGGTCGGACAATTTAATTTTCAGGGCTGAAATATCAGGCTTAATTTCATCAAACCTTCTCTCAAAATGGGCTGTCTGTTGGCTGAGCATGGTGCTCATGAGCTTCTCAAAAATATTATTTCAGTAATAAAGAAGACTGGGTTTCTTGCATCAATCTCAGTGGTGTAGTTTCTGGCACTGGATTTCCTTTCCCCACCTTAGGTTTTGCAGCCATTTTTGTATTTTCAAAAGAGACCCTTTATATGACAGTTCTCCAATGTTCTCCACTGATTTCTGCTTCCCCTTCTTATATAAACTTAAATAGTCTAGGACATTAGATATATGGAAATATGGAAAGATATGAGAGCAACTAACAAATAGAGCTCAAACAACCAACAAATAGGGAACACCCAATATATATGGTATCAGACAAAGAATCAATGTTATTAATGAAGAGGGGAAACGTTCCTTGACCACCTCCAAACGGGGAGAATATATCCTGAATACAATAAGTATGATAAGTATTACTCTAAATTCTAGCGTTGCCACAGAGTTTCAGGAACAGCAGGAAAATTTAAATAATAAAACCCCCCCAAAACTACTTTTCCAACTCCTCCCCCAACCATGCTCAACAAAATAAATAAAATCAAGAAGAAAGATTACTTCTCCATGCCTGGTATTTCTTAAAAAGAACAGCAACCAAACACGTTTGAATACGTAATGTGAATAACACCAGACTTAATTTGGACTGCAGAAGGCAGAGACAGGTAAACAGTACTCAGTAATGTTTTTGATCCCAACAATTTTTGACAGTTTGCACCAGTGGGGAATCCCTTTGGGGCCCCCATGGAGACTGAGAGATTTTTAGAAGCTGTGCAGAGAAACACTGCAGTGTTTCATCCTCTTCTTGCCAATTTCCTGTGCAAGATTAAGTTTGGGCTTCTTGTGTCTGACCTATTATCTTGGCAGGAGTTTTGTATCTTTTTGCTACACTTATCAATTTCCCACTCTAATTCTCAGCAATCTCAGATCATTATGATAGTCACAGTATGAGCCCGAAATTGATAAGAGTTACTAATAAGGAACCCTGCAGAGAATGGTGTCGATTCCAGTGCCGTACTTAAGGAATTACCCACCAAGTTTCATGGAAAGAAGCTGATCTACTGTCCATGAAATTCTGGACTTTTACAGGTCAAGTAATCCTGGGAGAGGAACAGGGTGGAGAAGCAGAAAATCCTACAGAAATATGTGGGATGAAGAAGCATCTAGATTTATAATGCACTTTGAAGTTACAATGATACCCCTTGAGCCCTCCTAAACCAAGGAAGCAAAAATCTCTCATTACTGTATGTGTTCTATAGATTTTCCAAGTTGCAATAATAATTTTCTCCATATAAAGAAACACAAGAAACACTCTCTGATTTGTTCAGCAATGAAACATGACATGGAATCAGTGGGATCAGGAATATAGATACAAGCAAACTGGAATTCAAGAAAAAGGAACTCAAAACAATTTGGTAGTGTTTGGGGCGGAGGAATCAATTTGTCAGTGAAACTCATGCTGTTGCAGGGATACTAAGTTTTGTAAGCTGCTTAGGGTGATTAGCTGTTTCAGTGAAAACAAGGATCAGGTGGGAAGTGAGGTATAAAGACAGCAAGTTGGCCTTGCCAAATCCATCTGTCAGTGTGTGATTTCAAGCACATCAATGATAACTGTGACATTTATAAAACTGGCTTTCTGGGTCCATATTACTCACACACATTCCTTTACACATATTTACATCTATTTTTCACTCTTCTATTCAGATGGTGCTCAAAGGAACTAACAAATAAAATAAAAGCATGAAAACTGTATTAAAAATATCATAAATTAAAGCATCAACTCAAAAGGCAACTCCAGCTTATACCGAGAGCACTTTTAACACAAAGGTCAAGGTGTACAGGTTTGTAATAGATATCTAAATGGTTCGTGGGATATGCTTGGCAAGCCTTGTTAGGAAAACAGTATTTAAAAAATAGAATCAGAGACCAACACTAAGTGATTAATTGTTTCTGGAAGCACCTGAAGATTGCTACATGAGAGCGGGCTTCAGGCATTTATAGACCTCTGAAGACCAAAATTAGGCCTACGAATTCAGCATGCAAATAGATTAGGAAGTAGGAGCATCCACACACAGAACTTACGTCATATGGGTCCAGAAATGTCTATGAACCTGCACCTGCTTTCTTATATTGAACTAATATTTCTGGACTGTCTCAAAGGGCAACCCCACTGACTGCCATCAAACTGAGAAGCTTCCATGGTATCCATGGCAGTGGCCAAGCACAGATTAGAAATGTTATCAAAATGAATAGGTATCAAAGTGTACAGAATTAATGTACATATTAATAAAGTATGGGTGGTTTCATAATTACAGCCGAATACCTGTTTCATCTTTTCACTGTACTTTCTGGAAAGATGCAATTTAGATAATACGCAAAATGCTTACCGTAGTTGTCTTTATTCGCCCACCTGGTTGTGTACAGGTCCAGCCTGATTTATTGATTAGCAAATCACAGCCTTCTCCTTCTAAACATGGAAGCATTTCACACCACTGTTTTGTTTTTATAATGCGTGCTGTGAAGGACAAAAGAGAAGAAAGATAAGCTTTTGTACTTTTGTACTTTCCTCCTGCGTATTAAAACAAATTGTCTGATAATCAATGACCACATTTGCAACTAACACACATTAACACAACAGGCTCCTGTATTCCTGCTCCCTTTTCCTCTGCCACAACCTCAAGGAAAATATTGAAAGGTTTTTCCTACATTTTAGTTTAAGCAGTTTATCATTATATCTTATTAATATATGTGTGTTATACACACATTAATAAGATATGTATTAATTATGTATAATGTCCAGAATCCGAATGAAATTCTATGCTGGCATAATTCCATAAATTTCAGATGTGAATCACCGCAAGTTAAATCAGCAGAAGCCTCACTTATTGTGTGCAAGCCATACGACTGGTGTGCTTACACTTTTTAAGTTGCAATTGCTGAGATTTACATTGAGAAGCTTAAGCCAACAAGCACAAATAATAGGACTGTGGCCAAAATAGATGTAAACTGCAGTTAATATTCTCTATACTGTGTTTGAAAAAGCCATCTTCATACTTGGTTTGAAGCTGGCTTGTTTTAACACAGCTGCAATCATCTGCAGTTTGTCTATGGTTGGGTAATACAGCCAATCTAAAACATAGTCTAAAATGAAAGCAAAAGCTTCCAAACCCTTTCCCATGAGGAGATGGAAATATATGAAATGCAGCCACTGTGACTGCAATTGCATTCTTCCAGAAAAATGGGGTGGGGGGACTACTTCAAAATACTTAGGATGCAATCCTGAAAAGTCCTGTTGATTTGAAAAAAAATGTGTTTCTGCTTTTATTCTGTAGTGATTTTATTATACAGTTTGTTTCAAATCTTTCACAGATGCAGGGCTCCACAGGCCCTGGTGGTCAAAAAAAGTAACTTATAAAAAGTCCTGACAACTAATAAAGGTTATAGAAATTTTATGACATTTATTCAAAAAAGAATAACCACATTTTCTGGAGAGGGCTACAGAGGCAGCAAGTAAGAACAGTCTTCTGGGGATGCACAATTTACTGTTCTTGACTTCACCTCAAATCTGACCCTCTTGTAAACTGTAAGCAAGGCTGGAAATTTAATATGGTGTGCATTTCTCACACGGGGCCTATCTGCTGCACTTTCTTGCACTTGTGACTTTTTTTGTTTTATATCTTGCAGAGGGACATGCATGAATCCATCTTGCTTTTGTTTTGTTTTAAATCGAAAGTGAGTATTTCCTCTCTCTTTGCCCTGACATTTCATCAACTGTTGGGACTTGAGTTATTGCTTTGCAAACAAGTATGCAAGTACATTTTTCTTTCTGAATATATTGATTAGTTGAAATCAATATTATTGTAGCGGTAGATCTATGTCAGAGCAAGAGAAGACGGCTGGAGCATAAAAAGATTTACCACAGCAATATGGTTATCTCTCGCAGCAAGTTGTTTCCCTCCCTATCCAGTGTAGGGGACTAAAGGCCTCAGAGGATTTGTGGAACTATAACACTATCTACAGGAGAGTGCAACTCACAGGATATATTTGCCAACAGTGCTAAAACAGCTCTAATAACCAGGTCTTTCAGAGGACCTGCAGAACTGAGTTTTAGGACAGAATCAAAGTCACAGAGCTTTATTTTAAAGGATTGCTACAGCATTACCAACAGCAAACGGCTTTGGCTAAAAAGCAACATTTTAACAGCAGAGTAATCACAATCTGTTCTTTAACAACATTCTATAAGATTATCTTTACAATACAGAACTGTCACACCTCTTATCAAGAAAAGCCAAGGTGAAGGGCAAGATATTTTCAAAGAATTCTCATCCTTTTGTGTCCAAAAAGCTATGGTAGTTAAAACAATTATTTGATGTGAAGATGTGGATGACCAAAATGTAATTTTTTTAAAGAGGCTTTTTTAAAAAGTAATACTCCTTTTCACAATATTAAAAAAAAAATCTCACTGTGTTTGGCTTCTTTTAGCACAACACCCTAATATGAGATCTCTCTATCAGGGCTGCAACATCCTGTTCTCTGAAATTCCAGGGCCAAAATTGAAGATAAGGGGGGTGGGCCCTTGTGAGGGAACATGGCAGGCCCTTGTGATACCACAGGCATGGGTCTTTGTGGTTTCACTGTGGCAGGGCAAAGAAGGGTGGCGGTGGGGGATCTGGAACTGTTTCTGGCCCATCTGACTGTGAAGAACAGTACACGGCAAATCGCAACAGATGGGCCAGGACACAGGAAGAAACCTCTCTCACCAAGTAATATCCCAACACAGAGGGATATTACACCTTCTCAGTGTTTGTCCAGGAGACAAAAATACTCCCAGAGGATGAAGTGGTTGCTGCCATTCTCACTAGGGATTTTAACTGTGTTGCCTTATCAACAGTACACGCTACAGGTGCTTTGGGGGATTGCAGAAAGGGCAGTCAGTCCAAATGGAAGCACCCTAGCTGGGAATGGGTGGCAAAGTGTGCTGAGCTTTAAATTTATTTATTTATTTATTTAATTTATATCCCGCCTATCTGATCGGGTCAGGACCACTCTAGGCGGCTAAAGTCATCTCAGTTAATTAATTAAAAACAAAAACAAAAACAAAACTTTCTTCTTCTCTACTGTCACATTCCTTGAGACTTTTCTCTCCGCCTAAGGATCCTGGGAGCCACAGAAATTTCCTGAAACTCTAGCTAGTATGCTGAGACTTACAAAACCTGACAATAATCTTTATTTTCTAATGTTAGGAACTAGGAGTATGCCTGCCTTCCTTCCTTCTAGAAAGGAAGTCAACTCCCAGAATTTTCCAAGAATTCCCCTGGCAGAATTTTGAGAGTTTCAGCCCACAAACAGACACTTGCAGAACACCTTTAACATCACTCACTGGGACAGAACCAAGGACAGGAGCCTCCTTCTAGGATTTCATTTCCTGCTTCCATGCTTCCTAGGAGAAACCTTCCCAGAAATCCAAATCAGTACAACTTTAGATCCCATCCCACCCCCACCCCTCAGCTGCCAAGAATGACTTTTAGATGATTTACTTGCACCATCAGCTTCTCTAGACTTCCTGTTTCCTGTTGTTGATAGGTTAAAAGAAAAAAGGAAATTGCTGCGGTACTTCTTGGGAGTTGTCGTCGTGCTTTGGGAAGCATCTCTACGGAGCCTAATGGGTAACAAGGCTACAATTCCCCACAAACCCTGTGGCAGCTTCTTTTTGAATACACACACACACACACACAGCGATTTTTCCCCATAGGCAACATCGCAAAGCGATGGCAAAAGAGATTGCTTTTTTGCCATCGCTATGCGAATTCATCGTTAACCGGGGCACTCGTTAAATGAGGCACCACTGTACACACACACACACACACACACACACAGAGAGAGACAATTCGGAGAGCTTGAGAAGCCAATGGTGCTGGTAACTCAAAACTCAAAGCCCTTTTCTGGTGAACGTGGAACCTACAGGTGTTTTGCTTTGCGCTTATCAGCTGCAATTCTCAAAGGTCCAAAAATCCACAGGTATACACCCCTAGAAACAACTGATCATGAGGAAATGTAACATGGTAAAAAGGTAAAGGTAAAGGTTCTCCTTGACATTTTTTAGTACAGTCGTGTCTGACTCTAGGGGGTGGTGCTCATCCCGTTTTTCAAGCCGTAGAGCCAGCGCTTGTCTGAAGACAGTTTCCGTTGTCACGTGGCCAGCGTGACTAAGGAGCGCCGTTTTACCTTCCCACCGAGGTCGTACCTATTTATCTACTTGCATTTACATGCTTTCAAACTCCCTGCTTATTTCCGCAGACTATCATATTGGCTTCTCTAGATTTCTTTTTTTCTGCATGGAATATAGGAATTGTGGGAGAACAATGGATAAGGCAATATGAGGGAAGTGCAAGTGCCCTGCACTTTTGAAGTAATACAAACAAAACACTACGTGGCTGTATTTATATGGAATAATTAAGATAAATTTCTGGACCATTTGGGCTTATCATGAACAACCTGGCTGCTGAGATCCACAGCATGTTAGCTTTCAGTTTGCTCTTTCCTGGCAGCATGGCTGCTAAGAGCACCAGGGACAGCTTGTTCAGGACGATGCTTAAATTGACGATCCTAGCCTTCTATTCCCAAAATAAGTCAGTAATCATAAGAAAAGAACAAATCCTGGCTTGTAAACCTGTATTCTATGTGTCAGTGAATGTACTGGCTAGAATAACAGACTAGGACTCAGGAAACCTGCGTTCAAATCCTCACTTGACCATGGACATTCACTAGAGGAGCGTAAAACCACTGCTTAAGTATCTCACTTAGAAAAACACTAATAGGTTTGTTATCAGTTGAATACAAATTCAGAACATGTAGCAAAAAATTGTGGATTGTTACAGATGAATGAAGCCAAGGTCCTTGGTTTGGAATTACATGCTAAAGAAAAGATTCCTACTTTATTTAGCATTCATTATATTAGAGAGACCAAAGTGGGAATAAATGGGCTACATGCACCACCATGCAACTTGCTCCGTACAAGGCAAAAAGAAATAACTGGAGTTATCCTATGATGAGAAGGGCAGTGGAAACAGATGATTTGGAAAATGGTGGCTCTGACCATTTATGGGTGTACAGCCTATAACACAATCCTATGCATATCTATTTAGAATGACATTTGTTAAAAAAATAAAGATTCATGGATGACACTAGGGAGAAGTTTATGTGGCAGTTTTTGGAAAGAGCAATGAACAACATAATAAATACCTGGTAACTTCCCAGCACAAACATTTTATACATATTTTCACTCCTATTTGGTGTATTCGGTGTATTCTTGGTAATAAATTGCACGAGTCAGTCATAATCTCAACATTGTAGAAGAATATACTATGTTGAAAGTGTAGGATCATGCATTATACTTCTGGTACCATACATTTTCCAATGAAAAAGAAATTATACCAGTCTGAATATGTTCTTACACCTCCCAGTTTTGAATATCATGGTGAACTTAGTAAGAAAGACATTAATTTGAAGTTCTGC